GTCATCTCTCACCCCACCCCATGCACCCCGAGAAGTTTGTAACCCTCAACCTCTGAATACTCCCAGACCAATCTTTTTTTTTTTGTCTCAGAAACCTTAAAGGGTAACAGTTCACCCTTCAAGTGAGTTTCAGACTCCCTGAACTTTTTGACATTGATCCATAACTTTTAATTGCTAGGGTGGTGATAAAAGCCAGCATGGTAATAAGAGACATTGTAGTGTGGTAGGTTGAATGTTGGGCTGGAACTTCAAGATAACATAATGAATCCCTATTCAGCCATGAAACCCAGTGAGTGATCTTGGGCAGCATACACTCTCTTAACCTCAGGAGAAGGCAAACCTCATCTGAACAAATCTTGCCAAGAAAGCCCTTAGATACGTCTACTTCATGTTCAAAAATGACTTGAAGGCAGATGATAACAACAACAACAACAACAACAACTGCAGCAGCAGCAGCAGCAGCAACAACAACAACAACAATTTTTCAAAAGCAGAAGTGGATTTCTGGGTACTTCTAGTTGTTTGTTTGGGGTTTTTTGTTTGGGTATTTTGGCAATAAGTGAAGCCTCCAAATGGTCTCAATCCAGAAAATTGGTCCCCAAGATTAGTTAGAATTGCTCGCCTCTGATCTAATGCAAATTCATATATTATGAATGCCCACACATTTGTGGCCCATACAAGTTTTATAGAGCTTAGTGATCTGACTGCAAAGTTTGTTGCAAATGTTATGGATGCTAAACTTTTTTACACAGGTTGATGGATAGTACTAGAGAGGAGTCAGCAGTCATGGGACATATTGGTACCAGTGATGTGGGGAAATATAAACTGGGAAAACGAATTGACTCGAGTATGCTGAGGGTGGGAAATGCAGCAGCTACTGGTAAAATTCAAAATCAAAATAAATAACAATACAATTACATTAAAGGAGGCACCAGTAGGCTCACGCTGCACCCCGGATTTGAACCTATGACATTTCAGTCAGCATGTTCAGCAGCTCAGCACTTTAACCCACTGTGCAACTGGGGGCTCCCTGGTTTGCTTTTTCTTTGTGGCTCTTTTCTTCCTCCCTTTCCCTCATACACTTTCTCTCTCTTTCTTTTCTATTCTTTCCATCATACACCTCCTTCCTTCCTTCTTCTGTGTTCTTTTTCTTTCTTATCTCCCTTTTTGTCTCTTTCCTCCTACCTTTCTCTTTCTTTCTTTCTTTCTTTCTTTCTTTCTTTCTTTCTCTTTCTTTCCTTTCTTTTTCCTCCCTTCCTTTCCCTTTCCTTCCTTTCCTTTCCCTTCCCTCACACCTCTCCCCCTTTCCTTTCTCTTTCTTCATCTGGCCTTTTCTTGGAAGTCACAGTCTCTCAGACTCAGAACACAAGTTCCAAAAAAAACTTCATTAAATTGCTAGCTTCCTTATGGGGTGGATGTCCAGACTGTGGCCTTCTTGACTATGTGTTAGGCCTCATCGTGTGTCCATTTTTGAAATCCTTTTATCTATATATTGCCATTTTTTTTTCTTTTGGGTGCCTTCACTCCAAATGGAGTTGATTTTGTAGTTGAAACTCTACAATTATTTTAAGTTGGATAATGAAGGATATGTGTGCTATGTTTGGTCCAGATCCATCAAGCCTTATAGGTGCCTTTGTGGAACAAACCAACCAACAGACATATATACTTTGACTTTTATATATCTTGACAAATGCTTATATGCTCATGCTACAAATCACTGAATTAAGATGGTGTTAATGGGATTCTTGGTTTTTAAAGCAGAAGGTAGACATGTTGGATATTATGGAAACCTGTGTGAACAGAGAGAACCAATTGGGTATGTTTATCTGGTCATTAATTCTGTGGCAAAGATAAGAAATGAGTGGTCTTGCAGATGATATTGGACTGCTGCTTTGTCAGCATTACCATTGGCAATGCTGGATAGGACAGAGGGCCACAACAGTCTAACAGCATCTTCTTCTGTATAAGAAGAACAGAAAAGGGCATACTGGACTACTATGACTGTATATAAGGAAAGATAGAGAGTCAAACTAAAAGGAACAGAAAGCTCCATAACTTGGCATTATGTCCTGCCTATGGACTTCCCATAGATAAGATATTTGGGTAATCACTCAAATAGGGGACTGGACTAGATAGATATGTTATTTGATCAAGCAGGGCTCTTAGTTTCTTAGATATTTGCAGGAGAGTTTTGCAGCAAATGAGAGCAGCCCTTTATCCTGTTTGTTTATCTTAATGGGTAAAATAATGGAGACAATGTTCTTCTGTGAAGACAGAGCAGGATCGTTAGAGAAAAGAGGGGATGTACTGTTCTATTCTGTCCCGCTCAATATTAGTGTTGGCCAATGACTCATTCAGATTAAAGTGTTGATGAAAGAAGATTGGTTGGTAGGCTGGTTAGGGCCAAACAACCAATCCCTCAGGCTTCCAGGACCAAAGGTATTTTATTTTTTCTGGTTTTAGTGTTATTTATTCTTGGTCTTGTAATGAGTTTTGTGTATGTGTTTGTGATAGAAACATTGGTTATGCTACTGAGGCATTTTTGAAACACTGTTCCCAAGACATGATATTACAGTTTGTTGTAGTATGTCATTGGGAAAACGTATACATGCCACAAGCAATTTTATATATGCCACAAGCAATTTTTAAAAGTTGAGCCATATACTCATCTGCTGATGAAATCAACAAAATTGATTATGAAGATTTTGATGTAATTTCCCATGATTGAATTTGATTCCTTACAAAATAGTTTAAAGACAATTATTGTCATAGTAATGTTACGTATCACTGGATTAATTCAATACAAAAGAAGAAAATATGTAGTCTAAGAGAGACCTGCATGTTTTGTATTAACCATAAATTCAGATCCTTATGTGAGTTCTAGTCCATTCAATTTTATAGTAATTTGGGAATTTGTGCAAAGGTGTTTTTTAATCAGTCTGGGAATTTGTGATGGTAACACTAGACAGATTCCTTCTAGGCAAAATAAATTCCTCTGGAAATTTTCTCTGAACTTGAAAAGGTTATTTCAAAGTTTGACCTTGCATTATTTTCCAAGAGTAATTGAATGTCTTCAGGCTAAATGTATGCTTGGGCATTAGTGGAGGTAGGAAGAGAGAAGACAAACAGAAGTTGAAGTGTAGCCACTGTTCTCTAAAGTCCTCATGATACCGGAGGGCCCAAGGAAGAGGGATTTTCACTGACAGAAACACAACTAGTAGGTACACAAGGGAGAGGATATATTTTTCTAGAATGTATACAGTGCTTAAGAAATACTATCTATTTATCATCTATTTTCATGCACATGGCAACAATTTAATCTGAGAAGTATTATAACTACGAGTAACTACGAGTACACTACTTGTGTTTGGAAGTGTTTGCACACACACACATTTACAGAAAAATAAAAGAAGAACATTTTAGCTTTAATTGGAAGACATAAAGGTTGATATAATAACTGGGTGATTCTGCATAACATTGATGTATCACAGCTGAATGTCCACCTCTCTGCATATTTAAGATATCCATCAAATAGCTGGGTTCCTGCTTCCATGGCATTTCAGTGTCCAGAGGAGGCCAGGAGAAAGTTATGGGAGCAACCAGTGAGCAACGTTACTTTTGAAGTTCAGATATTTTTTTAAAAATGCACTTAAGTTGATAGGATTGCCAGTTCAGGATTGTCTTAAGCCTTGATGTTTTCAGGATAAAATCTGAAATCTAGGAACAACCCTAGATTTCAGTGATTAAATGTTGTTTATTAAGCACCAACCACAGTTACTCACAGCTTGACACATATGCTCACACAGAATGTGTTTTCTGATGTTCTGTCATAAAATGTTTCTCTAGTGGTTGGAAGGCTTTTGTCTACTTAGAGGTTAGATCTCTCTATGCATCCTCATTGCATAGAGATTTTGGTATATCATGTACACCCCGGGATGCTCTTCTAGAAACCAAAAGATCTTATTATAAGTCCAAAGCCAAATACAGTTGATTCATCTGTTTATGTCTGTGGTTTCTGAGCATATTTTACAATGTATATGTTACCTCTTCTGCCTAAATATTATATTACAGTATTATATTTGGAAAGTGCCTGATGCTTACTACCACAAGTATTTGAGCATCTTTCAAAGTGATTTCAAAGCATTCCAGGGAGTCAGAGATAATTTCTGAATTTGGAAATCTTCATGGAGAGCAAAAACCATGGATGAAACAATGACACAAACTGAATTGGATAGATTGACTTTTCCATTCTTGATCTTCTTTATAAAAAGTTTTTCAAATATTCAAGAATGGCTGTGCTTCTTTTCTCTAGACTGATCACAGCTAGTTTCTTCGGCATCTCCTTGTATATCTTGCTCCATTAATCATTCTTCTTAATGTTTTCTTCTGAATCTTTTCAGTTTGCTTAAGGGTATCTTTGCAGTGTCCCTCACTGTTTTACGTTCTCTTTTGACCATATGGTTTCCCCTTTCTTCTTGGTACTATGAGGTTAAATTGTTTGAAACAAGGCCTTCTTGTAAAAATAGAAAGTTCTCCTGTGGGTCTTCTATAAAGTTTGCTGCAATGTACAGAAATGCTGGACTAAGAGTCTCCCATGGCTTCTTTCATGATGTTTAATTCCATCTCCCTTCCCCATTTCCCATGTCCTCAATGCTTTCTGTCCACTAAGCTTGCATAGTCCTCACTGCACTGTGGTGATGGTCCCTCTTTGCATTTTTCTTTTGAGGACCCCCCCCCCCAGTTTGACAAATCTTTGTTGTGCAAAAGAGGAGGAGACATGAAAAGAACGGACAAACCAGAGGTTGACAATTGTAGAAATTATTGTCCTCTTTTTACACATAAACTGTAGTTCTGTCTTAATTATACTCCTTCCATAAATCCCAAATGGCAGGTCTAAAACAGAGAATGTTTTGGAACAGATGCATTTTCTCAATATTTAGCATGATAAATATGTTTTCATTCCTTGTTTATGATAATTTTAATACTACCTTCTGTTCTAGAGTCGAAGCAAATACTTAGATAAAGTGCATGTAGTCCTGGGAAAGAAGTCCTGTGATTTGGATTCTCTTATTTCTGCTTTGACATATGCCTACTATCTTGAAAAGGTAACTATTTTATATTGATATTCTATAATATTTCTGATGTTAATAATAATAATAATAATAGCACTGTAATTCCTTACCATCTGCCGACAGAACTGCAAGAAGAGTCACTAATAAATTCTGATTTTATGGCTGGAATTAATGTTAGATAATTGCTTTATATCTTGCATTTTTATAGTCGTGGGGCAACTATTCAATAATTACTTATTTAGGTCTTCCTAAGTCTAGAAATCTACCTTGTTCTCTCTATATCTGTAATCATTTTATTAATTTTCCCATTGAATTAGAATGCACCACTGGCTTGCACAGTGCAATCCTATATATTATGTTACATTATATGTGTACTATTTAAATTAGATATGCTTGAAGCTGCAGCTATTTCAAAATGTAACAGCTTGACTGTTGATTGGAACAGCTTATAGAAATTGTGTAGTCTTAATTCTAAAGGAACTGCACTGGTTGCCAATGTTTCTGGCTTCAATTGAAAGTACTGGTAAGGACATTAAAAGTAGGGATTCAAAATATTCATAAGTGGCAGATATCCAGTAATAACAACAAAATCTGGTTTATGTGTGCCAGGAAGCTGAGATGAAAAGAATCCTGGAGTGATGGGAATGTTCACAGTTTGGGATTTGTTCTGTGGTTGTTTATTGCAGAAAGCAACTCTTTTCTCTGTTGGACACAGCATTTTCTACAGAAAATAATATTTCTAGACAGCAGTATTATTTCTGCAGTAAACAACCACTTGTTTTCTGCAGTAAACAACCACTTGTGCATTTTGGGCAGAACAAATCCCAAACTGTGAACATTCTCATCAGTCCAGAATTCTTTTCATCTCAGCTTCTTGGCACACATGTTTTGTTGATATTATTGGATGTCTACTGTTTATGAATATTTTTGAAACCCTACTTTTAATGTGGTTGCAGAAAATAATATTTCTGTGCAGGAAAATGCTGTGATTGTGGATGTATTCTGTGCAAATTTTGCACATAAGTGAGTTGCATGGCTTTTTCTGTGCCGAAAACTATTTTTGTGTGTGTATAAATTCAGAAAATGGGTCCTGTATTGGGCAAAAGATGGAATATAAATTGAATGAATATATTATATACTTATAACAATAAGAAATGCTATATAATGTGGTTTTCTATGCAAAAAGTCACATATGAATTCTATGCAAAATAAGTATGAAATTGCTAATAGGCTTTGAAAACTGCATGTGCATTACTTCCCTAAAGAAGGAAAGCAGTGAAACATTACATCCATAATTAAAAGTTTTTGGCATGTTGAAATTTATATGCCTTCCAGGGAACATAGGTTTACTGAAGGGGTCCTCTATTGTGTCTCACTACTGGAAGTAATGTACTGTTTGTGGACAAGGCAACCTGATTATGGAATGCCTTCCCTGATTGGTTTTAGCACTGGTCTCATTCCAGTACCATGTTAAAACTTGTTTCTGGGGCCTAGTGATTTCATCTAAATCTGTAGATATACATGGTTCAAAATCTATTTAAATTTGAATAATTGTGCAGGAGTTTAGTCTGTTTTTAGAATGTTCAATTTCTTTATATTGTGTTACATTTTAAATAGTTTAAACTGATATTTTTATAAGTTGCCACAAAGTTTGATAATATAGCATAGTGTAGTATGAAAAATAAATAATTATCCAGAGGAGATATTCTCCAGTGCCCTGCCATTTTGTTGTTGTACAAGATGGTTTTTTTTGCTCTTTTCCCACCAGTGTGGAAGGGAAGAAATCTATCATGTTAGAGTTTGCCTATCCTAGGACTAATGTAATGCTATTTATTGGGAATATGCTATCTATTGAGACATAGTAGTTTGGGAGGTTTGCGACCTGGGAGCTATTCTCTTCCCCATATGCTGCTTGAAATGCCTGGATTTCTCCTGTACTGATGGATCCCCAGATGCAAAACATCCACACCAAGAGCTCCAGTACGGTATATTTCAGCCTACCACCAGGCTTTCCTTACTACTGGTGAAGTGCCATACAGCCTGTATCTTTCAGTAACAGGATGACAACCTTAGAAGCATAATGAATTTCCATCTTAAAGATCTGAGGATATGACCATTCATGCTACTGCAATGGTTCCTAATTTTTATGAATGTTCTTGTTACAGGTCAGTCCACCCAACATTCTTTGCTTGCCTGTACTGAACATAACAAGAAAAGAATTCTGCTACCATACAGAAACTAAGTTTATTTTGGAAGAGTTGAATATTCCAGAGTCTCTTCATGTTTTTTGTGATGACATCTATTTGAATCAGCTTAACAATGAAGGGAAGTTGTCTCTTACACTTCTGAACAGTAGTGCACTGACAAGGTATTTTACTAGATACTTAATAACTACTAAACTCAGCTGGAATTTTGAAATCCTAGATTTGTATTTAGCTTTTCCTTAAAATACTTTCTCTGTTCAAGCACAGGAAGAGCACCTGAGGCTCAGCTTTCATTTTCCTTTGTAGATGAAAAAACTTTGGATTACAGTCAGCTCTTTACATTTGTGGGTTTCAGTTTTGTAGATTTGATTATTAATGGATTTGATTAATATGTTAACTCCTGATTTTCTGGGTCCTTCAGCATGACTATATGGTCAACCTCTGTCATAGAGGACCAGACAGGCTCAAAAGCCAGGACCTCTCTCGGTTTTACCAGAGGTGTCCAAACAATGCCTCTGGTAAACCTGAATTAATTCAGAACAAAATAGGTTCTCTGGTTTGTTCCAAATTGATTACATACCCCATGTGATCCAAACCTTCCTAAAATCCCCAGCTCTAATAGGGTATTGGGCCTGTGGATACTCCTGGGACTATCTGGGTGTGAGTCCTCATTGCCATCTTGCAATGGATCCTAGAGCCCAAAGGTGTGGGATGGCACCCACTCCTCCCCCCAAGCCCCAAAATTACGCCTAAAAATAAAGTAAAATTTACCTGGCTGCCATAACTTTTTTCCTTGCACCAGGAGGGTGCGAGGAAATGATGTGCCAGGAAATGGAAGGGGAGGAAAGATTTTCCTTCTGCCACCCATCTCCTGGTGTGTCATTTCCTTGTATCCTTCTGGCACGAGGAGGAAAGTTATGGTGGCCAGGTAAATTTTACTTTATTTTTAGGGGTTAATTTGGGGGGCTTTGGGGTAGCTGCATTCCACCCCAATTTTAATCGGGATGGCCCATAACCCCCCCCCCCAGGAAAGCCCAGGAGTAGGGACAGGAACCCACACCAAAACGGGTTTTTAAAATTTGCTTTGGCACAGATTTTGGGGATGTCTGGAAGTGCCCCTAGAGATTCTTTGAAAGGTGTTCTGTTGGGTTAGACATTTCTCTCTCTCTCTCTCTCTCTCTCTCTCTCTCTCTGTGTAGGTTATTTGCAGTTTTCCATATTTGTGGGGGTCCTGTGCCCCTAACCCCAGTGAATGTGGAGAGCTGACTGTAAAGTATTATATGAATGGTACAGTGTTAGAGTGGCAGTAAAGGTTGCTGATTTCAGCCCAAATATATGAACACTTCTGTCTTCATTCTCTTGTTCCCTTTGGGCATTCTAATCAAAGTAAATTCATTAACAATGTCCATGGCTGTGATGTAGAATTGGAAGTCTGATCCTTCAGTATTTTAAAAACATCTTCTGTGGACATCTGCAGAGGGATTTCTTGAGCTGTATATACAGAGATCTCCATTCATCTGAAATGTGGTACTGCAGATTTTTTACTTGAATTGATGGCTCCATACATAGAACAGCTGATTTATAGATTTCCTCTTTGTAGATATTCATATGCTATGTACTGGTATCAGGGTCAGAGGCTAAATTGCAAGTGCCATATTGGAGGTAGAATATGTCATTTGGCCCAGCAACCTGCTTTTCAATGTGTAGGCCAAACTTGTGAATGGGAGTGAGTTATAGATGGATAAGTTACATCATTTGGGTATTTATGACTGAATGCATGGAGAGCCTAGTGCAAACAGGTGGAACTAACCTTAACCACCTAATGGCAATATGAATAATAATTCTCTAGCATTTTCCAGCCGACAGCATTTTATTTATTTATTTATTTACAGTTTTTATATTCTGCCCTTCTCACCCCGCAGGGGACTCAGGGCGGATTACAGTATACACATATATGGCAAACATTCAATGCCAGTTTGACAGACAACGAATACAGACAATACACAGAGGCTATTTAACTTTTTTCTGGCCGCCAGGGGAGCTGCTGCTTTCATTGTCCATCAGCGACACCGATGAAGTTCTTCCGCATTCCACATCCCGGAGTTTTCTTTATGGCCTCATAAATTAGTTAATTTAGCCTCCCACACAAGGTGGTACCTTATTTTCCTACTTGACAGATGCAACTGTCTTTCGGGTTGCAAAGGTCAACAACAGGCTACACAATGGCTGGACACCCACTCCAGCCCGGGCTGGCTTCGAACTCATGACCTTTTGGTCAGAGTGATCTTAATGCAGCTGACACTCAGCCAGCTGCGCCACAATCCAGCCTCACTCTGAAGAAAGCTGCTTCATTGCATATCAACATTTCTTTCACAATGCAGAAACCTTTGGCCAAAAGTTTAGAGTTCCCATACATAAATATATACATAGAATAGGGTCTCTAAACATTTAGTCAAGTTTGTGATGTCTAGATGTTATCAACACATGAGCTATGAAGACTCCCCCTGCATGTTCCTGTTGGTACTTAATGCTTGAATACCACTGTTACTTTCAGAATCTGAAATATTTTTTAAAGTTGCCCAATAATTTCTCTTGGAGCTTAGATAAATAAAAATTGAGATAAATAAACTTTATAAAACCTTGTTTTACAGTGAAGATAAAAGTTTGGAATCAGCTGTTGTCAGAGTCATTTGCCCCGAAGCGCAGTGTGATGGCAATGTGGAGTTAGTCGAATCAACTTCCTCCTTAGTAGCAAAAGAGCTTCTTCAAAAGGCTCCGGAGTTAATCACTCTGCAACTGGCTCATCTTCTCAGAGGTGAGAGATTGCTCTTTATATTAAATACTGAAAGATTTAATGGTGTGTTTCTGAATCCATTCATGCACAGACACTATGATCCATTCTTTGATTAACAGTCCTTTTCAAGACCACAGGAAGCTGCATAAAAGAAGCAGGGTGTAAGGGGTTTGTTGAAGAGTAACATCATGTGGAATGTTGAAAATGCTCATTTAACAATAGGCTTGACTGAAGTGTGTGATGTATCATTAGACAGGAGTGTTAAATACGGATATCTCCACATTGCTTGGACAGTATAATAACTCTTATATTGCTGTCAACATGTTTCTGGACATTTGTGTGGCATTCAGAAAATAACGCCATAGCACACAACTTATATGATCAAACTTAGGGGATTTGTGGTTCCATCAGCATTGTATGCTGAGATCATCTCTCCATTCCCAAAGCAAGATCTGAGCAGAAAAAGGAAATCTAATATTTATCTAGTTTAGGAACTCACCAGAAATCCTTTGGAATGTTACACATAAAGAGACACTGTAATTCTTTGTCACGTGCATCGATCTCATGGGGCTTGAAGAAAGGTAAGCATGTTAATGCACAAATATACAATACATGACACCTGGCTTGACAACAATATATGTGAAAAAGGTCTAGGAGTCTTAGTAAATCACAAGCTGAACGTCAGTCAACAGTATGATATGGCATCTTAAAAAGGCAATGTAATTCTAGGCTGAATCAATAGGAGTATAGTGTTGAGATATGGGGAAGTCACAGTCTCACTCTATTCTGCTGTAGTCAGATCTCATCTGGAGTACTATGTCTAGTTCTGGGCACCACAATTCAAGAAGAATACAAGAGAAGGGAGACCAAAATGATCAAAGGCTTGCAAGTCAAGCCCTGTGAGGAACTGCTTAGGGAGCTGGGTGTTGGAGAAAATTTCTCCAGCATTGGAGAAAAGGAGAGTGAGAGGCAAGTTTGTTTTCTGCTGCTCTGGAGACTAGGGCCAGATCCAGATAGGTTCTTGTTCCAGAAGCATCTACGTTAAAAAATACAGATATTTCTGAGTGCCTGTCCAAAATGCTCACTTTCTGGGGTGGGTTGTCCACACGTTCTCTCAGGACTAGCCTGAGAGAACATGTGGAAGCCCTACCCCCTCCTCCCAAGTCCCCAGGCCCCTTAGAAAACTAAGAAAAACTTATGTGTCCTCCATTTGAAGTCCTAGCGGGCTCTCTCGGCACATAGAAATGGTGCGCCAGGAGAGCGGGGGAAGCAATTTTCTTCCCTCCTCTCCCCCACTGCTCTCCTGGCACGTCATTTCTATGAGAGCCTGCTGGGGCTTCAAATGGAGTTTTCTTAGTTTTCGAAGGGATCTAGGGGCTTGGGGGAAGGGGAATGGGTATTCCCACAATTTACCAGGTTTATTTAGCCCGGTAAACTGTGGGAATGGTGTCTGGACTGTAGGAAATAGTGCATTTTATCCTGCACCTTCCAGGAAGGTGCGGAATAAATGCACTATCAAATTAATTTGCTACAAACCAGCGAATTAATTCGGGACTGTCCAGAACATTGTCTGGTTAGCCCCTCCTTTATTGCAGGAGCTCCCACATTAAAGGCTCTGTCTAGACGGACCCTATGTGGCAGTCATCAGCATCCACAATTGGTTAATTGGTTTTTTTTTTAAAAAAGAGAGAGATAGCCTTTTTGTCTGTGCAGAGAAAATGTTTGCAGGAAAGCAGAGAACTAAACATTGGTGCTGCCAAGATAATAATGGCTTTGTGAGGTCTCACATTTAAGTTTGTTTTAATGCTCTGGTATTCCATAATTTCTCTTCTCTTCATGTTCAGAACAATATAATTCCTTCCAGTGTAGAATTCTGCAAAATCCAAAAGACTCACAGCGTTTTGAGGCAGGCTCTGCTGTCTGTCAAGACCTACCACATTTTTATTGGGTTTGTGCCAGGAGCAAACAATTAGAAAACCTGCCAGAGACCTGAGCCTGTATTGTTTTATTTCCCATGCGGTATTGACTAGGGGACTGTTGCCAAACTCTGGACCCATTAATTTGCTGAATCATTACATTTTTGGTGGGAGCCAGCTGGCATGGAGATAATTCTGTAAACTGATTGTCAGGTATCTCGGGGTCAGTGTATGCTCAAAAACACCTCCTTCTGTTTATTTGTACAAGGCCATGAAGGATGCCACAAGGAACACAGATTGTAACTTGTAAACACAGGCAAATTTAAATTAGGAGCAGCCTCCCCAATGCCATCACTTGAAACCAATCAGTGAGTGATGTAAGATTCATTTATTACTGTGCTGCTTGCATGTTATTGTCAAAAGTTCCCTTTAAAGCTCTGGGAAGAAAGCCAGTATTAAAAAACCCTAACTTTCTTTACAAGATGGATGATTCACAGACCAGATTGTTTGCACTTTTCTTACATGGTCATAAAGGCTAAGTGGATTGCATTGCTGACCTTTGGTTCCATACAGGAGATATGGATTTCCTTTTATACACCAGGAAAAGAAACCCAAGCATTCAAACACTTTTTGTCCTTCATCCAAGGATACTGTTGTGCTTCCCTTATCAAACAGTTTGCCTGCAGCCATGATCTAGCAAGTGCTAGCTCTTGAGAGTTGCATAGCAATACTGACTTAGTCTTGTGAGATTCCCAATGGCAATGGTACAGGCAACTGTAGGTCTTTCCGTTTGCAGCTTCTAATTTCTGTGTAAATGTTCACATTTGTGTCATTTCATTTTAACAGAAAAAAACACAAATAAAGAAAAAAAATACTTATTCATACATAAACATAGATATACTTGAACAAAAATAGATAACTACTAAACAATTTCTCTTACTTACATAATCTCTACTCTAATTGCATGTCACACTAAGTTGCTGTGAGTTTTCTGGGCTGTATGGTCATGTTTCAGAAGCGTTTTCTCCTGACATTTCACCCACATCTATAGCAGGCATCCTCAGAGGTTGTGAGATTTATTGGAAACTAGGCAAGTGAGGTTTATATATCTGTGAAATGTCCAAGGCAGGAGAAAGAACTCTTGTCTGTTGGAGGCAAGTGTGAATGTTGCAGTTGATCACCTTGATTAGAGTTCTGTCGCGCGCTGGGCCTGTAACAGCTGTACTTTTCTATAGGACGTATACTTTAAGCCCAGCGGGAAGCCAGGGGCCTCAAAGAGAGGTTCTCAGGGATTTTTTGAAGTGATGGTCTTTGGAGTCTTTAATGATACAACAAAGTCTTTATTATGGAACAAACAACAAATCTTCAAAGGTTCAAACAACACTTCAAGGCTTTCTTAGTCCAGTCCTCAATGGACTGGTACCTGACTTTGATTAACTGTACTTTCTCTGTAAGAAAAAACCCTTTTTAACCTCTCCTAGGCTGTCTATTATCTAGGCCTCATTGATGTGGGTACTACTATGATTCCAAATGCATCTGGGCATCGAGTAGACCTACCAGCCAAGGCTTGCAGATATTTCAGAGCCCAGAACAAGGGGTGGAACCAAAGCTTAATTATGATGGACAGGAGGCCTGTCCTATAACTGCAAACAAATAACAGAAAGAAAATAAAGTTGGAGCTCCTGGTACAGCCGTACCAGCACAATTAGCATTGAAGGTGAGGAGGTGTGGGGCCTCAATCCTGGGAAGAACTGGGATGCTGTTCAAACAGAAGACTGGACCAGATATAATTTTAGTTTGATCCAGAAGGATTCTTCCCATATTCTGATTAGACACCTAGTTTTAAAAGTTTTTGCCAGATGCAGTTTGTTGCTATTAAATTTTCACAACCAATCTCTATATGTAGCAGAAGATTTTTTTTATCATTCTCTCACATTCCCCTCAGGTTTTTGAAATTTAATAATTCTTTCATATCTGCATTGACAATCTGCAATTAAATTGTAGTTTAGTAGAAGAAGCTTAGGTGTTGGCAGAGTTACAAAAGGGTCTGTGTAACAATTGCTTTTTAAAGGTCATACCTGAGTTTTTTCCACAATGATATTCACAGAGATTGATTTTTAAAAATTCAAAATAAAGGTATGTTTACTTTTTATGCATTACTCTTTTTGTCATTATCACATACAACTATAGAACTAAATCCAGTAGTCATTCTACTTAACATTGGTCCATCGAAATTAATGGTACATCTTGATGATGTCTGACAAGTCCCATTAATTTTACTGGGGCTACAGTAGGTAGGATGAATATTGTCGAAGGCTTTCATGGCCAGAATCACTGGGTTGTTGTAGGTTTTTTCAGGCTATATGGCCATGTTCTAGAGGCATTTTCACCTGACATTTCCGCCATAGATGCAGGTGAAACGTCAGGTGACGATGCCTCTAGAACATGGCCATATAGCCTGAAAAAACCTACAACCCAGGATGAATATTGTTTGTTACTACCTTGAGTCCCTGCATTGAGAGAAAGGTGGAATAAAAATAAAGGAAACAACAACAATAAAAGTTAGAAAATATTAATGTAGTCCATGTAGTGCCAATATTTATTGTTCATCTTAATGGATATTGTGAATTTATTTGACAAAAGCCGCTGTGCAATTATTGCTCAATTTGTTATCAATTGTTTAATTACATTGTGATGACAAGTGATAAATTAAAATAAAATTAATCAAATAACTTTACTGTAGCTGTACTGAACCATAGCTTTCTTGATCATCTTATTGTTATTCAATTAGGCTTACAAATCAGCACTGATTTTCTAGTCAGCTTTAATTCTAAACTAATGAGCCTATGTTATTTTACAACTTGATTGCTGTTACCTATTCCTTTACAATGGAAGCCAACTGCTTTAGTTTTATAATTCTACAATCCCTGTTCTACAATCATGTTAACCAAAAGAACACAAAAATGCATGCGACCTCATGGCCAACATCACTAAATTTCCTTCTTGTGAATTTTTAATATGATGTCTATTTTAACTTTTTACTGTTGAAATTATGCATATGCTTGTGGATTTCAATAGTTTCTCTGTGTAGTCTGACATGATGGTTGTCAGAGTGGTCCAGAATTTATGTGTGTTCTCAAATAATATGCTATGTCCAGGTTGGATAATCAGGTGTTCTGCTATGGCTGACTTCTCTGGTTGAATTGGTCTACTGTACCTTTCATGTTCTTTGATTCTTGTTTGAGTGTTGTGTCTGATGGTCCCTATGTAGACTTGTCCACAGCTGCATGGCATATAGTAGACTCCTGCAGAGGTTAGAGGATCCCTCTTATCCTTTGCTGAATGTCACATTTGTTGAATTTTCTTGGTGGGTCTGTAGATTGTTTGTGGGTTGTATTTCTTTATCAGTTTCCCTATGCTGTCAGTAGTTCCTTTGATGTATGGTAAGAACACTTTTCCTCTAGATGGATCTTTGTCTGTAGTTGCTCTCGTGGCTTGTTCTTGGTCTTGCAGATCTTTTAATGTCTGTCATAGAATACCTATTGGCCTATAGAGCCCAGTTTAGGGGGTTAATTTGGTTCACCTTGATGGGGGTAGGGTTTGCAGATTCTGTTTGCATGGTCTGCCAGGGCTTTTGCAAAAGAAGCACAATACAAGCCTCGGCAGACCTTTTATATATATATATATATTGTCTTTTTCCTTCAGGAAGCATTCTCTCTAAAGTCATAGCCATGGATCTTGAGAAAATTACAGAAGAACAAGAACAAGTGCTTTCCAGTTTGGAGGAGAAATTCCCAGAGCTGTTACCTCGAGAGGATATTATCACAGTGCTGCAGGGGGCTCAGCTTCAAGCAGATGGTACAGCATTGTCATTCTTTCCTTTTTTCCTTTTTGATCTGTATTTTCCCCAGGTAATTACTTTTAGAGCAAATGGAATATAGCATTTTGCCAGAAACATAATTTTCACCACCATATGTATTGATAATTGAGAGAAAGAATGAGTTGGATAGGGAGGTTCTTTTGTGAGAAAGGCTGTGTTACCTCTGGAAATAAAATGAACATGGGAAGTTTTCTATTTATTTTATTTTATTTTTTCAAAAATATCACCATGTTTATTTTGGGCCTGTAACACTTAATAAAACTAGTGATGATTATGGTGTATTGCTCTTGAGGATGGCCCTTGGGACCTTCTGCAGGAAACATTCAGTGCTCCCAAATTAAATTAAAAGTAGTCAAAATGTATGTTCTTTTCTGATCACCTTTTAGTGAGGGCAGAGGCTTGGTCCCAAATAAATAAATAGGAAGGCCTCCATGCTTCTGAAGGCTTCCAGAAAAAGGAGAGAGAAGATTGTAAAATTGCTTTGGCATCTGCATCCAAGATGTAGCCTCTATGATACCCATTTTTTGTTTAGTTTTGGAAATATTTCAGCAAAAGTGAAACATGTCAGTTCATGTTTTTGCACTTGAAGACCAACTTCTTCTTCTTTTGCATAGCACCACTATCAGTTGCTCAGTGATTTCAGCACCAGCTTTTACATCCAGCTGATTTGCTAACCACGTGACCTTTCATGCTACACAATTATTGTACCATGATTAAACTTTAATTGCCTTGGCAACATCCTATGAAATCCTAGTACTTGGGAGTTTAGGGAGGGGCATTTACGATTCTTAGCCAGAGTCTAGTAGCTCACCAAACCCAAACACCAGGATTTCAAAGGGTGTTACCATGACAATTTAAGTGGAATCATAGTGCTATAATTGTGCCATGTAAAAGTGATTCCAAAGCATCAATTCATTCTTTTAGGCTATTACATAAAGCAGATGATAGCACACCTAAGGAAAACAAATCTAACACCACAGATTTGGCATAGTGACTCATTTGTTCTGAATTCAGTTCAGTTTGAATACTTAACAGAAAAGCTCAGGCCCCACAATCTAGCTGTCTTAAAAAATGAAGATTTATATTGCCATAATGGAGTTTTCTTTCATAAAAATGCATTAATAAAATAAATATGTACATAGAAATCTAGATGTGAGGGGAAAGGCACATCTCAAGACATTTTATTGGTTAAGGTAAGGATGAGATTTTCCACCGCTCTTTGAGGAGTTCACTTGGAAAAGCTTTTAATCTTTCTCCAGGAGTAACTATAAACAGCTTGCTTGTGGGCAATGGGCCAGTTGACTTTCTTATGAGATGGTGGTAGGGATACAGGATGGAGAAAATTTGTACTGTTTGGTTTCATTAGTATGACAAACAAACAGCCAAATACTGAGACATCTGGTATTCTTCCCAGAGCCAATATTATATATTATACTGCCAACTGCCAAACCTAAGCATGTGTCAGTAATTTCCTTGTCTGTCCCACAGGGCTAAGGATTGAGGAGGCTATGCTCAAGGATCTCAAAGAGGTGTCAGATGGAGAGATAAAAGTAGCAGTTAGTACTGTGTATATGAATCTAGAGGTAAGGAGAAAGAAAACTGGGAGGGGAACTTAATTCTGTTTTAAAATCAAGCATTTTCATGTTATTATTCATTCAGCATATTTTTTTTCTCTTGACAATTTTGTAGCTTAATTTATTTAGATACTATTTTATAGCTGCCACATCTCACAGCTGGAAACAGGGGTATGTATAGCCAGGCAAGGGGACAACCGTTATAAATTATGAATAACATATAAGTTAGAAGATACTGCAGCAGTTTATTTTTGTCTGAGCCCACTGGGAAGGCCAAGATTTGCCCCCTTCCTGACCTCCTTCTGAATTGAGTACAAATTACTTTTGCTCTTTGAAATAATCTGAAAACAGAAAAAACTGGGACAAGTAAATGCATTTGGACAAATGGGATTACAGAGGATTATTAAGAGCTGTTATTTCCAAATTGAGACAGATGGAGAGTATAATATTTCATGACATCTCCCTGATGGATTTTGCGCATAGAGGTCGAGCTCCATTTCCCATGACTTTGCTTTTGTTTCCTGTATCTGCTGTCTCTCCACAGACTGGAAGAATAATGGGGACCTGGGGACCAAGTGATATTCTTTTGAGAGAAGACAGAGCGGGGAAATTTGGGAACAACCAGAAACTTTTGTTAATGTCATTCAAAGTCACATTAACATGAATTGGCTCTGTGCGTCATTTAGCTGTCATGGAGCTGAGTTACCTACCCTTCAGGATTAAGTACACATAGAGATGTGCCATAGTGGAGAGTAGTGGGAATGGAGTGAGCGTATAGTAAATAAATTGCTCTAGTTCAAACCCTGCCAGTTTTTGAGGCAGCAAGGTTTTGGGGAAATAAAAGCATTTCCATCTACTGATTAGAAAGTTTCATGATTTTCACATCCTTATATGTTTATATATAGTTCACCCAGTGCTTTCACTTCCTGGATGTAAACAGGAGTAGAAAACTGCAACAGGGCAGATATCTCAGACATATCCAGCTATTTTCTTTTTTCATAACACACCAGGATAGGCATCCTCAGTAACTTTCCCGAAGTCATCATGAGATCCCTGAGGATGATAGTATTGTTTGTAACCAATTTGACACACAGTGACAGACATCCTTTGTGAACTCTTGGGAATCTTTGCAAGGTCCTTGAAGGTGGTTTTATTGTGTGTGTGCAACTAAAAGACAATATTTTGGCATTTCTCAGCTGTTCTTTATCACTCTCCACTAACATAGAAATGGTCATGGAATAGGCTGGTGTACTGAAAATGTGGTTTAGCAGTGATTGATTTCTGCATGATTAGAATTCTGACTTCTGTGGTAATAAAAAAGGTGCATGTTGGACTTTTTTGGTTTATGCTATTGTAACTCACTAACAGCATGACAGCTTGTACCTCTATACTTCTGAAACTACACTTAGGCACATACTGTTCTATTGTCTCCCAAATCCAGAAGTGTGGGCCTTTAAAGAACTTACTATCCAAAATACATGAATTAAACATGTTGAGAGAAGTGTCTCTAGTTTCTTAGATGAGAGTTGGCTTGTGGGCCAGAAGCCCCATGTGGTCCAAACTACATCTATATGTATGTGTGCATATGTGTGTCAACTAACCCTGTCTATGATGCAGATTGTTTTCTGCGGAGTGTTTATTCTTGTTTTCATTGAATAAAACACATTTCAATGTTTTTATAGACTCGGTGAAAGAAGAAATTGAAAAGAAAGAAATGCAAGGGGGCTTCTACAGAAATTGAAATATATGGCCAGAATTTTCTGTGTAGCTATTAGGGGTGTGCATTTTTTCGTTACTCGTCCTAAGTCACATCAAATTTGTTAACTGATAGTTTGAAAAGGAAATTGGGAGTAGGTTTAAATGTTTATCAAATTAATATAATATTTTCATCTCATCTATTTTTTTCCATTAAAATAAATCTGAAAACTCAAAGATAATTTAATTTGGCAGACATTATTGGTTGCTGCAATATTTGCTCCTCTGCTTTATATATGCTCCAAAGACTATCTGTGGCATTTTTATTTCCCAGGCATTTAACATTATATGCTATTAGAATTGCTATTAAATATTCTGGACAAGGAGGCAGGTTCTGCAAATGCCATTCTTCTGGGGTCAGAGGTAATTCTTTTGACTCATCTAAATGTGGCAAATTGGAATTGTATGAAGTATCTACCTAATGTCACTACAATTTGAGTGTTGATGATTTTGAAAGTGGCAGCTGAGAAATGAAATGAACTTTTGGGTTTTATTGAATTTCATGGGAGAGTTCTCTGTGTGATATCAAAATGTTGCTCACCAGCATTTTCCAATTCCTAGTGCATTTTGCCTTTTGGGTTTTTTTGTTTTTGTTTTGCCCTGCATTATACTGTACCCAAAGAGTATACTTTTCTACTGGGACTCAGTTAGAAGTGACAGCTCTTTTATCAAAATGACTTTAGAGGGGAATTTATTTTTTTTTTCTTAAAGAGATGAATAATATTTACTCAGTGGATTTAAATTTCTGTTTGTACATCAAAACAAGAATATACCCAGATCTAAATGATATTCTGGTTAGTGGGAGTTTGTATGTGTTGGTGAGTGATTTCTCATTTGTTATTCTGTCTTGCTGTAGCATATTTTGGTTATTTTTTTGTAAAGGCCATTTATGATGCTTGATACAACATTCTTCTGAAATTGAGATGACTTCTGTGAAAAAAAAATATGACATGTTTTATGTCTGATTTATTATGCAGAAAGCATATGATATAAGCGGTGGTTTTTGTAGAACATGTTGTTCAATACTATATACAGATATTTTTTCAAAAACGTGCCCTAATTAAGTTATTAATGTTTTAATGCTTATTATTGTAACTGGTAGGTATTAGCTTTTTGTAACATTTTGCTCCTATTACAGCCTGATTAATATCTCCTTATCATAGGGTTTTAATGGCAAGAGTTATGAAAGGAGCTTTGTAATTGCTCCTTCTAAGACAGAGTTCAATTTTTCCAAAGCCACCCAGTGGAGTTCCATGCCTGGGTTGGGTTTGGACCCTAATCTCCCATATCCAGATGGCTCACAGTATTACACTCACTTTAGGGCCCTTCTACATATGTATTATAACCTGGGTTAAAAGGGGTGGGATTGGGTGGCTAAATGATGTTTAGTCAAAATGCAAGAGGAATCAGGAAGCATTGGATTAAAGGCTGGAAAACACATGTTTAAAAGCAGCCCTTTAAACTCGGTTCCTCCTGAGAAACACACACCTTTCCATGCCTGTGTAAACCTGCAGGAATGGAAGACAAGTGTTTTCCTTCCCTCCCTCCGGACTCCCTCATGTCCCCCCCCCCCATTTCCCTCTCAACATACCAGAGGAAGTCTTCCTTCTGCTTTTCCAAGGGAGTGGGATGGGGGGGGGAGGTTTCAGGCCTTGTCGGACTCTTCTCCTAGTAAGTACAGGGGGAAATGGGGGGCAGGGAGGCGGAGGCTGGCAGTGCCCATGTCCACTCTTGCTGATCTTGGATCAGCAGGGGTGAGTATCTGGACACCACCCCTGCAAAAACACAGGATTTAGGCCAGCTGTGTGGCCTACATCCCAAGAGGAAATGGGATTTAAAATCCCAATTTCTCTAGGAGTTTTCTTTTGCTTTTCTGGAAGGGTCCTTAAGTACTAAAATATTGCATAATACATAATCTTGAGTAGATCAAAACCTGGATCAGGCATGGGTAAACTTTGGCCCTCTAGGTATTTTGGACTTCAACTCCCAGCCAGCTTACTGACTGTTAGGAATTATGGGATTTGAAGTCCAAAACACCTGGAGGGCTGAAGTTTGCCCATGCTTGACCTAGAGAGACAAGTTACATTGATGGGCTGCCAATGTATGTGGTCTGAATCATATTCACAAAGGGCAGCTAACTGAAAAGTACAGGCAGTCCCAAAGTTACAAACAAGATAGATTCTTTAAGTTTGTTCATATATGTGTGTGTGTGTGTGTGTGTGTGTGTGTGTGCACTTTAGATAGCATAGAGAAGGATGAAACCCCTGTGGTGTTTGTTTTGCTGTCTTGTCCCAGTTCACCTCAGGGCCCTTTTATAGTGCCCTGAAACCCCATCATACATAACCAGTTTACCTGAGGCATCCAAATTCCCTCTGAGCAAATCTTGCCAAGGAAAACCCATAATAGGTCCACCTTAGGGATGCAAGCAAGAAACAACCTGGAGACAAACCAAAACATTGGTCCACTACATTTTTGATCACATGACCAGCCTGCTCTTTAAAATGTTCATACTGTTGTACAAACCTTCAGATGACATTTTATAGATGGCAGTCGAGCTGAATTTTATGCTAGCAAACCAAGTAAATATGTTGCTGTTTAATCTTTTAGTGATGATATATGAAAGAAAATTCTGACTAACTTCTGAGATTGTTTTTCCCGCTGATGCTTCTTGTGGGGAGTTAGGGTATGTAAAATAAATGATGTATGTAGCTGTAGGAATGTGACTTCTGCACACTACCTTATGTCTAAGGAACATTAAACATAGGGCTCTCGTTTAGCAAATAAATAACCATTCACTTCAATGGTTGCATAGTCTGGACTTTTGTGCATATTTTTGCAAAGCTAAGGAGAGGCCATTAGGGATTTAATATAAAATAAATCGCCAAGGGGTCTTCTTGTAGTCCTAGTCTTTCTGCCACATGGTGTGTTACTAATGTGCATAAATGGGCTTAAATGAATTTGTTATCTGTACTACATTTGCAGTGTGTATATATTTATATATTATTTTAATTGCATTACTTATAAAAGAATATATATCATATTTTTGGAGATTGAAAACATTGTGACTCAAAAACAAATCCAACTTATTTTTAAGCATCAGATAATCTTTGCCTGTAGGTGACTACATAATGTTTCTATTTTACAGCTGGAAATATACTTTGATTTTGTCATCTCCAATGTATTCCTAGTGAAGCAATCACCTATGAGTGAATGGGGCAGCCAAAATCTCATTATTGGGTATCTGGTGTGCCTAA